AATGTGATCTGCTTTATCTTTAAAATATTGATTTCTTAATTTTGGGTTGGAAAAATGGGGGCCGTCTTGTACATGGGGGCGTCTTATAGTCGGAAAAATACGGTAAATGAATTCGTTTCCAGTTAAGCTGTTTTAAATGACAATCAGTAGTAAAGACATTAATTGGCCAACTTTGTTCTACATATTTCAGACCCAGTACAAATAAACTCTATTAATTTCTCATGGACAGCACTATATATGGGATATCCACCATTTCAGAGTGGGGAAAATACAAATGCTATTTAAAAAAATAGGAGAGCTAGTAGGGAAATACATTCTTGGGAAATTCTGAAGAGGGAGAAAGATATGGTCTACAGCAATAAACAGTGCAGTTTTTCCAATGGAAAACATTAACAGTGCTTTCTGGATAATTTTCACAGAAACATGATCTTTTACACTGTACCATTTGGGGACTGGACAATATTTATTGTGATTTCCAATTTCTTATCTCCCTGGTTGTCTACACACTGGCTACTATTGTATGTGTGTGTATATATGTATGTGTGTGCGTGTGTGTACACATACATACATACATAGAGTTTTCTGCAAGTGTAAAATATTTACTCCTTGAATTATGTGCTATATTACTTAAACAGAACTGCTGCAAACAAGAACCCAATGGAGCCTCCTTTTTTTTTTTTTTTGCTTTGGATAATATCGGAGACATTTTCATTAAATATCTATACAGTTTGCCCCCACTTGGATTTTAATTGTATAAATGGCTTTGCTAAGCAGGCATATGTTCCTTTTGCTGGGATGGCAGAAAACAAGATATTCATCCTTTGGTTTTAACGGCCACAGCAGGTATGTTGTGCCCTCAGTGCACTCTTCACATCTTTAAAAGGAATTTGCTACATTCCAGCTAATATTAGCAGCAAAAACATGATTTCACTGAGAACAAACTACGAGGCTTCCCTTTTCCATCTAAAGGATAAAACTGCTGTATTTTCATTGCTCAGGGACTGGAAGAAAAGGGCTGTAGCTGATTCCCATCCGCAGCCTTGAGGTTGATATAGGACCCAAAACCTGGATCGGTAGATTTCAAGGAAAGCAACATTGCTGTCTTTGCCAGCCAAGTCTCAGTAATACATGCCAGATCCACCTGCTTGTCCACCATCAAATCATAAGTGGATGCAATCTTATTGGATACAGACCTTGCATTTACCGATAGCACCTTAGGACCAGGTGCACCAACAATCTGGCCACCAGGTCCTCAGGCTGGGGATGCCAAGTCAGAAGATGAGACCACCACTAAATTGCACACCGCCCTACCTTGGAATGGCCTAATACTAATACATATAATAGATATATAATAGTTAATTCTAATATAGCTGCATGAAATACTTTCCAACTGCAAACTCAAAGGCCATAATACTTTCAGCCCAAGAGGCCTGGTAACTCAAACACCCACATGAAGTGTAACGTCTCCCGGGAAAGGCTGATACAAATAGGGATGATGCATTACAGGAGCCTAATGATACAGGCTGCCATTTCTCCACTCACAGCAATCTCTTGCAGAGGTTCATGAAAGGGGCTGCCCTGGTAGGGGAAAGCTGTTGACAGAAGGTGAGATGAATGCAGCCCAGGAACCACAAAAAGACATAGAGAGGTCATCTGTTCCCCAACACTTAAAAAAAAAAAAACATTCTACACATAAACTGCTGTTCTTCCCAGCTCCTTGACTAAAATGGAGACATTCAATTTAACCTGGGGGATGTAGCGTTTGTGTCATATCTCAAAGTGCACTTGCAAATGACTTGAAGAGAAAATCAGCCCAATTTATATTTTATGTATTTATCAAAGAAGGGAGTATACTATCAGCTGAGATGCATACCTAAATTTATTTTGATAATTAAATTAATTTGCCTGTTTCAGTCTAGCATTAGGCATAGTAAGGAGGGCAGAGCTCACTTTGGTTGCCTTAAAGGATAATATACTTTGGGAACTCTACATCCAAGTTTGTTCTCCAAGAACGCCACCTTTACTATTTTCTGGACTGCTTGGCTGGAATGGGAATTGAAGACATTGTTTTACAGTACCTTCAAAAGATAAAACATTTTAATTATTTATTTTTTAAAATGTGTGCATCCCCCTTTAAAATAAAGATGCCTTAGTGTGTTTCTTTTTGTCCTCCTATGCTATTTAATTTGTGTTTGAAATTATTGAATGCGTTCATATGAGTTTTAAGTTTATTTCACTATATTAGTGAAAATACACTAATGATACATATATTTCTTCCTCCATCTAAAGCCAAATAAGCTGTTCAAATTGCATAGTTCCAATGTCACTAAAATTACCAAGAGAAGATACAAATCCTCTTGATCAGTTAAAAAACTTATTCGGGAAATTTTTATTACAACTTTGTAGTTTGGGTGGATTCTACCAGAAATCCACTTAAGGCTATCATGGTAACTGAAAACATCACAAAGTGATTGTAGTCATAAAACTTAGATCTACATGTAATATAATATTATGTAAAAAAATATTAAATACTTACAAAGGATTATTACATGATTTCAAATAGCACAAAGCAATAAAAGTACTAGTGAATGAGTGTTACGGCATTTGGTCCATTGATATATTTTTTTAATACAAAAAGTCCAGAGAGGACCAAACAAAGTAACTTTAATTCAAAAAGATATCCAAATATAAAGGTAACAATTGAGACAATGAATGAAGACAATCTACTTGTTTTTGGAGAACGGTCTTCTAAAATGATTGTACGTATCTTATTTTTTCCTCTTCACAAATTATTATTTGTGTGCTTCTAATAATAACTTTAAACTTATTTTGTGTTTTTCACAAAGAAGATTATCAACAGAGAAAATATGCTATTTGGCCCTATTTTGAAATCTGCAAAAATATTATTTAGTTTATGTGTATTTCAACAGTCTTGTAGACACAGTTTATGATAGGATGTGCTCCAGAACTCCTTGCCTGATTAACTGTTCACATTTCCAGCGTGGTAAGAAATGCTAAAGGAAAAAAACAACAACTGTCAAATCTAAGGAAATACTTATGTTCATCTTCTTTACAAAGCACCTAAAACCACAAGACAGTGTGAAAAGCAACATAAAATGATCTAAAATGATCTTACATTAATGCAACTATACTGTAGCTAATCCATATACAGTAACAGTTTTCTCAAATGGCCCTCTAGATATTTAGGCTAATAGCCCATCAGCTTCGAAAGCTTAGCCAATAATTGGACTTGTTAGCAAAATCTACAGGAACGTACCTATTTGTATGTTTAATTCTTCTACATTGAAAAATGTTTTCCCACAATAATTTCCCATGAATTCTAACTAGAACATTGAGTTCATACATAGTATCATAAGAATACTTTTTAGTTTAGTTTAATATCCACTCATTTAAAGTGAATCTTGCTCTACCACTCTCGATATATCAGGCCATACAATAAATCCTTGATTTAACAGATTATTCAAGGAAAGCAGGGTTGTCTGTTAAATCCAAACATCTGTTAAATCTAGAAATCACTTTTTTTGCCCACCACTGAGTCCTTTGAAGCCATGGTAGCAGTACTTCAGCATCAGCAGCATTTCAAGAATGAAGCCAACATGTCAGCAGTGACAAATACCAACATATACCAAGATACAGAGAAGACAGAACACTAAAATATGCACTGAAATCATCACTCTCCAGTCTACTAGAGAAACAATGAATTTTTCCCATTAATTTCAGGTGATATCTGAACAACAACAAAAAATGTGCACTGCACCTGAAGTCCATTAAATTGAGGGGTCACTGTGTAGTGAAATGCTTGGAAGATGGAATATAATAAAACCTTAAACCCTATTTTTAAGATCTGAGTGACATGAAAAAATGTGAAATTGTAAGGAGAGAGAAAAGGGAGAGGTAATAGCTCAAATGGACTGTAAGATTACTCTGATAAATTCAGATTTTAGTGTGGATGGAGATATTCACAAATACATTCTCCCACTTTATCTAATGAGAGATTTTTCAGTTATTTCAGGAGCAGGAAAAAATAAGCAAGTTTAATTATTATGTTAAGGGTGCTAAATTATTTTCTTAAACTAAGAATTTCTCTTCATGAAGCAAGGAGGAAGGAATAATACATTCCAAGATACACTTATCTGCTGTAAGAAATCATGTGTCTACTATGTTGCATGACTGTCTCTTCTAATCTGCTGTGTCATGGGAGGTCCTGCTCATCCATTTATTTGCAATTAATAATGAAGGAGAAGTTGAGAAGTTTGGGGAAACTATGCCACTTGAATGCAGTCCTTGCTCCAAATCTCCAGTTTAAAGGCTCAGATTACAGGTGAAGAGTAGGCTCTTCCCATTATTGAGTTGATTATTCCGGGCTAGATGGATTTTTCTTGTGTGCCTTTGAGTCAGTCTTGACTGGTGATGAGTCCACACAGTTTTCTTGGCAACATTTTCAGAAATGGTTTGCCATTGCCTTCTTTCTAGCGCTCAGAGAATGTGACTGGACCAAAGTCATCCAGCTGGCTTCCACATACAAGACAGAATTAGAATTCATTGTATCCTGGTTTCTAATCCACTGACTTTAACCACTGACCTAATAAAGAACAGCTTCTTGTATTCCAAACTGTGCTAAAACCAAAAATCAACTGTTTCCATCTTTGTCTTTAGTTAACTGGACCCTGTCTACTCATAAATACCTGGCTATTCTTCTTCAACAGAATTGTTGTACCATCATCAATCTCAAATTCTCCATAGTCCTTCAAACACCGAACCTGAAGGAAAAATAATGAGTAGTACATTCATCATTACTGATAAATTAAGCATAAGCCTGTATTAAGAAGTTCTGCTATTACATAAAGTATGTTCTCTTCTGAGCAGCATAATGAACTAAATTTAGCTTTTAGTTGCTATTTTAAATAATTTTGTATATTTTGAAGATTGATAATGAACCAAAGTTTTCTTCTTTAATAAAACAGTATATAATCCTCAGTTTTACTTACTTCAATGTATAAGTTTTTTGGGGGTTTAATGTCTTGTGTAAGATCAAGGCCATCTCCTCCTCCTAATGATCTCATGTAGGTAGCCAAAGACTTTTTATATTGGTTAAACCAAAGCACCTAGATATAAAATGTTTAATTAATCATGAAGTTAAATACCACTTACATGCTGTCAAGCTAGATGTATTCTTCCTAACTATTAAAAGCCAAAACAAAAATAACGGAATGAAATCTGAAATCTCAGAAGTCCAACTAAACAACTCATCAGTTTCTAGTTTCTATAGGTCATGTGTTGAACAAAGTACATAACTGGCACTGAGCTTCATTTGAGAGTAAATTTCTAAATATTGCCTATTCTTAGTATACCTGAGAATTAAAAATGTAATTCCATCTGCCTAATTAAGTAAAGCCCCAAATATTCTGGAACATAAATGTTACAATAGGTTTATACTTTACACAAAGTTATGGTTTGTTGAACTCTATTTTACTGAATAAATCACAGCTAGCTATATTTACATATGATGCTAAGCCATAAATTTTGGTTCATAAAACCATAATTACTGGGTTCATACCATATGCTAAGTCAAAATCAAGCAATCACACCAGGGCTAATGTGCTATACAAACCCAGCTTTGGTGTCCAATACCAGTTATTCCTAAACCTTCCATCTTTAGAAAACCATTTTCTCACTGACCTCACACAATTGCTAAACAGATTCTGTGAATTACTGAAAATTCTACAGTGTGTTTTAAGAGATATGCTGATTTCAAATTAATTTAACATTTGTAGATAATATACTCTATGTATATTCCTATACTTACAGATTGTTCCCAGTCTTTTGAAGCTACACACACACACACACACACACACGTGCGCGCACACACAGAGGTTTAGCTTACTTCATCCGCTGACATATGAAATCGGACAGCATTTGGCAAGACACTACCATATTCCCATCTAAGTGCCCGGAGGCGAAGTAAGCGGTCATACCTAAATGTGGTAACAGCAAAAACAGATGTTATTTAATTCACTACTGCACACTGTTACTAATAAGGCTATGCATCACTTTGGATTTGAAGGAAAAAATGGTGATTTGGATTGGGTGGGGACACAAATGTAACTTATATCTGCAATTCCTTAAATCAAGTTCATTTTCCCCATGGGATTTCAAGTAGCTACAAAGGATAGCTGCACAATCCCAAGAAAAATACACTGCTGCTTTAAGGAGTTGCAAACAGGTATGACATTCTCATCCTTGTGCACTCCGAAACAATTTTTTGGTTTCAAATCCAAATCCTATTTCTCATCAAAATTGTTGAAATTTAATAACTACACAGAGTTATTACACAGAGATAAAATCTGTTCTAGTGTTAGAAAGAATGTACTGTACAGCTCATTCACTGTGCAAGAAACCACAAATACAGTTGCAGCTGTTTGGAACACCTGCAAAAGCCCTTACCTGGAGAATATAGTTAATGAACAACAAGACAATTAATTGTGAATGAGTCTCTTACAAGTTTGTATGCACAATCACTTCAATCATCAAGTAACCATAAGCTGATAAACTATAAGTAGATCAAACCTACATATTTTCTTTAACAAAAGCTATTTACAGAGTATATGCTTGCCATATACTTAACCATATACTTAACCATATCCAGATATGGTTAAGAATCTGAACTCTTACTTGCACAACTCCATTAAAAATATCAATCTCAAAAGTGAAAGAATCTGATCTTGGAAGAATTGGGAATTATTTCACAGATGACCCCTAGAAACTTACAAGTATGCAACAATACATCTTCGGTTTCTCAGCAGAGAACAATGGCGAAATTTGATTGTTGTAATCAACTCACTGTGACCTGATTTGGCTTCATTTCTGGTAATAAGAGTAGGAGAACTATATTAGCTATATATATTTTGAAATCAAAACACACATACATGAGATTGGCTCATGCTGTATTATTAGTTTATACTTATTTTATGTGCTTCAGACAGCACAGAAATTTCTTCTCAATTTTGCTCTGAATTGCAAAGAATTCAGGAAAGGACATTTTTGTACTGAAAAGATCTATAGAAGACTGTTCCCACAAGTCCTCTAGCATGCAGTTACACTCTTTTAGGATTTGCGTTCATTGAAGTGAAACAAAAAACATACTTCTGCTATGTCTCGTGGCACACATATCTTGGGGGAAGAATAATTTATTACTTTGCAAAGATAGAAGGGCTTTACAAGCAGCCCTAAGCCATCTCATCACTTCTACTATTCTCTAAAATTCAGCACAAAAGGAAGTATATTTCTTTACAGTGACATGGCATCTAGGCCATGTTGTACATTTATTAGATAGTGGCATTGAATGTGTACTTCTATCTTTCCCCAAAATGTCAGACTGTACAAAAAGATGTAGTGGAAATGAAGTTTACCATAATGGTGTTTGTCATTATTAAATCAAGACATTTACTGATTCCCGGCAAAAATACAGAAGTGATTTGACATTGCTTTCTTTTAAGAGTTTTGTTTGTTTTTATTTTACTTTCCAATCTAGTTTATATGCCTGGCATTCCCTGGTGGTCTCAGCCTAACTAGGCTCAATGCTGCTAACTTCTGAGCTCAAACAAGCTGCTGCCTGCTTGGACTCTGGTGGCTATGCTTAACTGCATTTCTTTTCACGCAATAATAAAATGTGAGTTATATCTTCATTTCTTAAATCTTTCTTTTATGTAGACAGATTAGTACTTCTTTTATTGATGAAACTTAACTTACACATCAATTTGGTTCTGTTCATACAATGCTTTCATCTCTTCAAGTACTTGTCTGATTCCATCTTCCTGGAAAAGAAAAACACCAAATGCAATGATCATTTATTAGCCTAATTAATTCAAGGAAAATGTTTCAACAAATACAAATATATTTTTAAATATAATTTTTATTAAAAGATTTTACATAAGCTTAAAAAATTACAGAAAGATAAAATGAAAAATAGAAAAAAAGAAAAGAAAAAAGAATAAAAGAAAAGGTGAAAGATAACAGAAAAGACAGATATCTAAAGAAGTGACTTCCAATCTTCTTTGCAGCAGTTACAAACATAATAATTACAATCTCCACTCTCCCAAATTACATATCATGGTTCTATTCTTCCCATAAACAAACCTTTTTAATCAATAAATCCTGAAATCACCAATTCATTTTTATGCTATTATCCATAGCAAAAAGTCCATAAAGGGCTTCCAGGCTTTTGTAAAAGTAATTGTTGTCCCCTCCTTAATCAAACCAGTCAATCTGGCCATTTCTGCAAGCTCTGCTATCTTCATGGTCTATTCCTCCATTATGGGTATTTTTGTATTCTTCCATCTTTGTCCATATAATAACCTTGCTGCAGTTACCATATATAAAACCAATCGCCGATGAGCCTTTTCTAGTTGACTGTCCTTAAGTCCTAGTATGAAAAATTCCAGTTTCATCTGAATATTAATTTTTAAAACTCTCTGCATCACCATAAGTATTTGTGTCCAATATCTTTTTGCTGTTTCACAAGTCCACCATACATGATAAAATGTCCCTTCGTGTTTTTCACATTTCCAGCAGTGATTGACTGAGATACCTTACTGAAAAAAATGTAGAGACAGCATTGGTTGCACTAGCAGATGACCACTGTTTGGACCTGGAGGAAGTGCCCCCATCCTGGTCCTTTGAGATCTCTCAGGAATCTTCAATACTATTAACTATGATATCCTTCTGGACTACTTGCGAGAGTTGGGGATTAGGGCACCATATTGCAGTGGTTTGTCTTCAGTGTGCAGTTTCAGTTGAGGGGCAAGGAGGAGAAATTGGCCAGATGGCTACTCTCCTGTGGGATACTGCAAGGGTTGGTTCTTTTCCACTCTAATTTACAATTTACATGAAGCCATTGTGAGAGTTAATCTGGTGGTTTGGGGTGCAGTATCATCAATATGCTGATGACACTCAGCTTTAAACTACTATCCCAGACCGGACTAATGATGCCACTGAAGTCCTGTCCTGGCATCTGGAGGCTGTTGGGGTTTGGATAGGAGAGAGCAGGTTTAAACTGAATCCAAGTAACACATAGTTACTATTTGTCCATTGAGGTTCTTTGTTTGCCCCAGCATATCTCTTGATGGGGTGGCACTAAACATAAAGGATCAAGTCTACACAGTGGGGGTTTTTTGGACTCACAGCTCCTGCTAGAACAGTAGATGGAGGCCATGGTCAGGAGGGTCATTTTTCAGGTTCAGCTGCAGGACTCATACTCTCATCAACATCCACTTAAATTACTGTAACACACTTTGCAAGTGGCAGATTTTGGGGATCACTGAGAAATTGCAATTGGTTCAGACTGCAGTGACCCATACGCTGACTGATATTTGCCAGTTAGCACACCTTACGCCACTACTGTGGGCTGCAATGGTTGGCAACAGGCTTCCTAGTGAATTTAAAGTGCTAGATTAAACTATAAACCCCTATAGCTGCAGGACTGCATTATTCCTTTGGAATTGGCCAATTTGATCTACTATGGAAAAACTATTAGTAGTATCTCACTTTAGGGAGGTGAAGGGGGCTGAGGCTCAGCAATGCAGCTTTTCAGAGACTATGCCAGTCCTTTGGGCCTTGATTCCATCTTAGTTTAGTTATAGTTTGGTTTCATTAATTCAATTTTATTCTGTTTTCATTAGCTTATGGAGTTTTTATTTTGATATTTCTGTGTGTGTGTGTGTGTATTTGTGTATCTTTCTTGTGAACTGCTGAGAGTCATAATGGATTTGGTGGTCTATAAATGTATAAATAAATAATAGTTTTTAAAAAATGTGCTAAAGGATGGCATTGTACTTGCAGCATCCCAGCATACCATTTTAAATTATTAAATATATTAAAATATATTAAATATTTAAAGAAATATTTTTAGGTTAGGTGAGCAGCTAGCCTGGCAAGCACCAAGTGAAGTGCCTATCCTTGTTTTAAAGTTTCATAAAAACAAAAGTTCTGTGTCAACTAGGGGATTGTCCCATTGATGTTCAGCATTACCAATATATACAACTGGAGAAGCATCTGGCCTAACTGCTGAGGAAAAGAGGAGTTTAGATCAATATTTCACCTCTCAGGTGAGACGTGCATTTTTTTAAACCTGGAATTTTACGAAAACAAGAACACTTAATTTGATCAGACCACTAAGTACACTAAGTACAGAGTGAGATGGCTGGTGACAAATTTGAAATATAAATAAATAAATAAAAGTAGCAACCTAACCTTTTCTTTTGAATTCATTATGAGGGTTGAAAAGGAAATAATGACACGGTATCCTTCAAATTCTCTGTAATCTTCACATATTCTCTATCCATTATACATAATACATTGCTTTTTAGTAAGGAGATGAGAGGATACAGAATGGGGTCCTATGCACATTTGCTTTTCTGAGGGAGAGAGGTCCACAGTCATTCAGTTGTTGGACTACAAGTCTACTATTGGTTGGAGAGAAGGAAGGGATGCTAAGGAAAGCTGAGTTAGTGCCAGCTGCTCAACTCTGTCACCTTTACTTCATTAGGACATCTCTATAAGCTGCTTCTTGACAATTACCAGCAGGAGAAAATATGGTTCCAATGGGTGCTGAAAATCTTCTCCCTCTCCTTAGATGATTTTATTATGCTGATAACTCCAGAACGAGCAGGTGCTTTTTTGTAGCCACGGTCCAAGGTGGGAGCTGCTGCCTAGTAGGTGATGACCAAGGGAAACGAAGGGCAAAAGCAGTGAACTCTACCTGAGTAATTGGCACCATATAGGCCTCATGCTACTGCAACTCCCCAGTCAGTCCGGTCAACGGCTGAAACTGACGAAGGGTAATGGGAACTCTAATCCAACTATCCGGAAGAAGCTAGGTTGGGCAACGCTACAGTACGATTTAACTGTGAGAATCTTCTGCAGAGATAATAAAGCGAGGTGATTAAATACTGTAAATAAAAGGTCTGGAATAATATCGATTCAAGGCTGAGCCTCGCTCTGTCAGAAAAAACGGATCGGTTCGCGCCTCGCTCTCACGCCAATCCCCTCAAGACTTCCCCGAACACAGCGGACTACGGAAAGGCGAGGAAGCGAAGCGCTCGCACGGCAAAACTTACGTTGAAGGCAGGAAGCTGCCCATCGCTCGCGCGGCAGAGCTCTCGGACGAGCTCGGTCGCTTTCTCACAGAACATGACAGCAACCGGAGCCACCGAGCTTCCTTCGAACCCGGCCGGCGGGCGGGCGAGCGGTGACTCGCGCCTCCGTACTGCGCGACCAATAGGAAGACAGGACTCATTGGAGGGATAGGAGGGAGAAAAAAGAGCCCCTCCTTCTGCCACTACTCATTACGGAATAGAGGAAGGGACAAAACGCGGTACTTCGCAGGAAACTGGGAAACAAATGAAATCCAGGGCGGTACTTGGGATGATTTAGGATCCAGTCACTCCGTATTCTTGCGACTTATGGGCCCTAAGTGAACGCTGAACTATTTCCATCAGAAACATTGCTTTTCGCTTTTCCCCCAATAACATCTTCACAGGATGATTTATTTCAACTATACTGCTCATTTTTTAAAATAAATATTCACCTCGCAAAGACACACACACACAAATATTCCGTTGGAACTGTATATACTATCTGGCGAGAATAAGCTTTGTTCTAGATATAGCTATCTGGCTGCAAATAATATATAGACATATTGTCCATATCACTAAGCAGATTCACTACTGAAGCTAGTGCCTGGATACATTTGTGGATACTACAAAACTTGCTTTTACTGTGATGTGATAACAGGATATTTGAAACTATATATTGTATACATAATGTAAAATATGTATCACAAATAATACTCTTCGTTCTTGTGGATTATGTGTAATTTCTGTTTATGGATATAAATACTACGGGGAAGTACAAAAGCACATGAGTAATAAAACGGTAAAGTTTCTGACTCCTAGTGATTTCATGGACATGTTTATGCAGTTTTCTTGGCAATAGTATAGAAGTGGCTTGTCATTGTTGCTTTCTAGGATGTTTTTTTAGATTTTCAAGTGTAATCTACACTTTTTGTTCCTGGTGGGCTCACATACAAATACTATCCAAGTCTGACCCTTCTTAGCTTTTTGAGATCACTTAAAGTCAGCAAGATGCTATCGACCTTGTTTTTGTGGAGTTTTTCTAATTTTGGTTTATTTATTGGTAGAGTTGCTGGCAGGGAAACAAACATAAGTGCCAATGTAATGCTGATATTTAAACAACGATTCTAATAAAGCTTCACAAAGGAGAGGGTATCAGTGGCTACTGGTTAGTAACCAGAGAAGTACTAGAAGGTGCATGCCTCTGAATACCAAGAGCCTGATACTGCTCTCATGTTGTATTTACAAGCTTTTTAGAGCCATCTGGTTGGCTACAGTGGGAACAAAATGCTGCAACTAAGTAGTCCTTTGGCTTGATCCAACTCCTATGTTTCTGATATGCTACATGTTTCTTTCATTGTTTTTCTATAACAATACACATGGCTTTTAAGCATTAATTTGGAATCCAACTGGTACTAAAGTTACCTCTGCAAGAATGTGTTCTTGGCTATTTCACTTTGTCCTACCTGCTTGGTAGTGACTCCAAATGATTTTTCAGTTAAGTGGCTTTTGGTACAGGATGTGGGTCTTTTAGCTTTATGTACATAAAGCATAACCCTCCACCATCAATCCACTTTCATGGCACTGCATTCCATTTTTAATAAAATTTTACACAACATTATTTTCAGGTACAAATATTTCTTAGTCAAACTGAGATATGCAGCCTTATCTAAAAATCTGATCCAATATTTTATCAGGGAAAAATGCAGCTTAGGCAAGGTGGAAAACAGGCAGTTCTACTGGAATTCTAAGCCATATCTTCTTACATTTTTGAACAAGAATAAGTGAAGTTTATTCTCTCCCATGAACTATCATTTTTAATCTTTGGCTACAATCCTATGCAAGTTTATTGAGCCCCCACTAAATTCATGACTTGGTTCAGACATGATAAAGCAAAAAATATGGTTGGGCTGCAGGTCAATATGAACCAGGCCACTATGGCTTCTGCAGCTAACTATGATTAAACAAACCATTGCTTATGGCATGATATGTGAATCCAATCAATGCTATTATTGCAGTAAACACATTCACATAATGTATTTTTTGTCCATGGATGGATTCTGAGTTCCACATTATAAGCACTACATCACTTGTGTTCAATGCATTTTAATGACTATTCAAAATTCACTGTATTTCTATTGTCTTTCAGAAGGGATCAATGTATTTCAAGGGTGTTTTTCTACCACTTGTTTTAGTATATCTGGGAAATCTGTCCCTTATAAAATGGTGAAATGTCTCAAATTTTATGGTGCTCTATAAAAATGTAAAAGATCAACTGCCTCTGGCTTTTCTCCAGTTGTGGCTTAGCTACAACAATTCCATTAAGCTGCAGTGAAGTGATAGAAAAAATGCAGCACTGTTCAAATGGCTCACCAGAGGAATGGCTTTCCCAAAATGTCATCTAGTAAATTGGGTTTTCTAATAGCTTCTATTGTAGCTTTTAATTATATAAGAATATTTATAATAGTGTTGTAATTTTATCACTTTTATCACTTCCCCATCTTGTTATCCTGCGGTGCACACTGTAAATAATAAAACAATAAACAATAACATATTGATTTGTAGGCCAGTCAGGGAGCCCTTTCTGTTAAATACAGGGGTAAAAATACTTTTAATACCTGCCCTTGAATATTAGGGACAGTGACAATGAGCATGTACAAAACATTGTTGGCAATTTCCTGGAAATTATCAGAGGTTATAGTAGATGATCTTTGCTTTCCATTCAAGCACTACAACAGCAGCAGTCTGCATCAGGTACACAAAGCATGACCCACTTCCACACCTCAGCTGTAGGATGAAAAAAACCCATGGTTTATATGATATTTAGTGATATTAAATCTGGGCTTCAAAGATCCCCACGACCCCGAGAGGCAGCAAACTATTTCGTTGCTGCCAACTACTGGTGGTCCGAATTTTTGCAATCCCAGATCTGCAAGCTTTCAGTCTCAGACAGGAAAGTGCAAATTCTAGAAAAACAAGCATGGGTTTTCACCTGCCCTCCATATCTTTGTACTTGCATAGCGCTCGTTGCACATACGTAATTATTTTTAGTGGAAGAGGGGTCCTCGTATACTGTACCACATCTTACCGCACAGGAGCCATCTTTGATGTGGGCAACTCAGTAACAAAGCCGAAGAAGCGATCATTCGTTCTATCAGTCGTTGATATGTAACGCGTAGCAGATCACGTGGGCCGAGCTGCTTCTGATTGGTAGCACGCGAGAAGTGCTGCTATTCTCTCGGTTGTCGGGTTGTTGTTGATATAATGTAGGCGAAAGGAGCGTCGGGTTCGGGTCAGAGGCGTCTTCCCTTAGGCGACTGGAAGTGGCACCGCCCGCGCGTTGGCACCGCCGGCATGAGAAAGCGGAACGAGTCTGTCACCTTGGAGCATGAGCGCTTTGCCTCCTCTGCTCCGGCCTCAGCCGCCGCTTCGTCTTCCTCTTCCCAGTCGCTGGATAAGGGCTTCAGCTTGAGACCCAGCCCGCGTTCGCCCAGCGCCCAGCCCGCCGGTGACTCTGGAATGAAGCGGGCACTTGGCAGGTGAGGGACATCTCTGCTCTGAGGAGAGCCGTAGCATAACGGCCATCCCCTCGGCTCCTGGCAGCCGGGGCAACCTTTCTCTGCCGCCCTGGCACCGCGGTCCTCGCGAGCTCGACCTTGGCCTCGTCTCCTTGGCAACGGGCAGACCATCCGCTCAGCGTTGCCGCCGCTGGCCGCCGCTTCCCTTCCTCGGCCTTTGCTGTTGCGGTCGCTGGCCGCGTAGCTCCCGTTTGCGATTTGCGGAGGAATGTCCTTGGCGCTCTCCTTTCTATCCTCCGCCTTTCCGTGCTCGCCGTGGAGGATCGCGCTAGGCTGGATGGGGGTCGGGAAGGGACTGGCTGGTTCCCGACTGTAAGGGCCCACCCTGGAGTTTGTGCTTTTACCTCAGAGCGTTTCCGCCCTTACTGCTGCATTCGGTTTACAAGCTGCGACTGAAGGTCAAGTAGGCGATCCTGTACTGTATATCGGGGTTTGGCAGGCCATTTCCAGTACTGTATTTTGCGATGGGGCGGGATGGGGGTGGGTGGGATAGAGCATAGGGAACAGCTTATGCCTAGGAGAAGAAAGACTTTACAGTCTCAATAGCTACTCAGCCGAATTTGTCTTTAGCTTATAGCGTGGGATTGGAAGAAATATATATCTACTTTCAAATCAATTTATTTAAATTCTGAGATGAAATCCTGAAGCTTTCAAGACTGCCTAAGCTATCAGACCATATGATAGAATTAAAAATAATTGAAAGGCTTATAAAAACATATAAACTGTTCTTAACTTTTTGTATGTGTCTGTCACATCTGCATCTTTTACTACATTTCATACACCTCATTTTTCTTTATTAGATTTATAACCTGCCTTTCATTCAGGAGCTCATGGTGGGATACATAGCGGACATTTCTCCTATTTTTCTGCAGATCACCTCAGTACAAAGCTGCTTGAATGCAAACACATACCTCCTGTTTTAAAAACACTTAGAATGTTTATTTTTTTCATATTCCACAAACATGTATTACTCAATCTCTGCTCCTTTTTTTTCTTTGGGTGATATAGCTTGGTCTGTGTTCCTCCCATTCTTGGATGCAGCCTCAAAGGTCTGGATACTGAATTGGTACTGAATTGTTTATTTTGTTATTCTTTACCATAACAAAAAAGGGGAAATTAATTAATTGGAATAGTTATGTAACATTTAATTCATTTAATTTTAATTAGATTTAAACCATTTTAATTAAACCATTTTTCTTGGTGCCACACATTTTTTTTCTTTTTTCTTTTGTCCTATCTCACCAATTTTTTGGTCTGTGAACCTAAGCAGCTCATTAATGGGCACAAAAAAAAGACAAAAAAGGTGCATAATCCTGATGTGAAATGTCAGCTATAACAAATATTGTTGTAAAATTGCCAAATCATGCAAGATCTAAATTGAAAAAATATTTTGAGATTTGGCAAAATGGAGATTATAATCCATTTTTAAAGAAATATAAAGTCCAGCATTTGAAAATAGTGTGAATCCTAAAGGTTTGTTTTTCCTTCAGTTTGTATTCTGCATCTTCAGATCCTTTCTTTTTAATATTGGCCCCAATCAAATGATATCGTAGGA